CAACATTTGCATGATCCAGGCCTGCTTGCTCCAGGAATCGCATGATGAGTCGAGGACCAGGAAAAACGTCGCGCTAACAGATAACTCCCCGAGGACTGCTGACGTTCTCTCGCTCAACAAAGCCCGTGGCCCACGGATTGCGCTCTAAAATCGACGGCGCCCGCAGGCGTCATGGTGATGGCGGGGTCCATGTTGGTGTCGTGCTTACGGGCAAACTGTTGCGTTTCCATTCCCGCATTCCCAATGGTCGAGGAACCGTATGTACGGAGCCGGCTCTGTCTGGTCTGGTCTGGTCTGGTCTGGTCTGATATTCTTGTACGCGGAACACCATCGAGGCCCTCGTGTCCTCGGGCCGTATCTTGCTGATATGCGAAGGTGCATGTACCAGGGCCGTGGTCGATGAACCATGCCAGGTCCGCAACAGTCACGCCCACGGACCTGCGAAACTCTCTGACCTGCCCATCCTGCTCCTCCAGACGAAGGTCGCGGCATGACTATAAGTAGTTGCTCCACATCAACTGCTGCCAGAGGTCTGAGCGTCGTTAGACGCATCGTCCAGGATCCGCCGGCAACCTTGATGATCGGATTTGATTGAAGCGGGAGATGCGAAAATCACTGTGCTATCACAGCAGTTGACAGAAATACTGACGCGGTCTCATTGCAAGAAACCCGATAAGCTGGGCTAGCGTTTATATTGCCTAGTCTTGGTGAGTAGTTTATATCTGCAATTCTCAAGGTCTGGTGCCATTTGTTAGTGGGATTTCGTGGTGCCAAGACCCAATATCGAGAACCTTGATTGCCAAACGATATCTCGAGTCCGGACATTGATCCGTGGTCCGGCCCAGTACGGAGCAGGCTTGGAATCAGCGTTTATCCCCCCCGGCAGGGCAAGTTTCTGGCGTGCTAGCTGCAGTACCTGGCAATTCCGGTGCGCTCTGTTCCGGTAATGGAGGTCACATCGACGTGCATACGTACTGTGAGGTGCCCTGGCGTAGCCAGCAGAATTTGCCTTGCAAGGAGCAGCCTGTCTTGAAACCTGTCAATCCTCTTCCCCTCAACCTGCAGTGGCTTGAGCGTAGTCTATCTGCCCCTCAATATCAAATCTTGTACAGGAACATGTTGACAGGTTCTCATCCGCCATGCCATGTTTCCTACCTGCACCCCGTCCATACCTGGCTTAGAGCCTGTGATGAGACATGGGAACCTGTTCCGTGATCCGTTAAAGAGGGGTTAGACATGACCAAGCGGCGGGCCATTGGTTGGCTTCTTCCGCAGTGTCGAGCGATGGCTGTCGTGTAACGGCGAGGTTTTTGTAACGGAATCAAGGTGAAGGGAACACAGGCCAATCATGCTTCTTGAACGGGAGCCCTTTCAGCTGTGCAGGCCGTGTCCAATTCGAGGCAAACGCAGACACAGTTTGAAAGTGCCTGGTGGACTGTCCGGCCAGGCTCTTCCCTGGCCATGGTCTCTTCTCCCCTGCAGTGTTCCAGTGCGGGCTTGATGCCAGTGATACCGAGGAAGCATGGGACATGGGACGCATGGGGGTGAGTGCCTGGCAGGGATCCACTAGGTTAGCTGCCACCGCGGTAAAGTCGGGTCGGGGAGATGGATGGCAGAGGCTGAGTGCTAAAGAGACGATCTTTACTTGGTAATGTCGTCTGCAACGCGCCCGGTAAACGCATGGCTGGATTGACAATGCCATGCGAGCAGCTGGGCGATCCAAAAGTGCCGTCTTGTGTGTGCGTGTGCGAGTGTGTGTACACGGACCTGCTATGGGATGCAGAGGGTGGGTTGCAAAGGAAGCATGCCAATGTATGAGGTGCGGGATGTGGATTCGAGCTGCAGATCCGGAGAGAATCAGAGTCGTCCAAGTTGAGGCGCCTCGACTCTTTGTTCCTGGCGCTTGTCAAAGCTGATCCGTGTTGGGTTGTCACCGTTGCAGGACATGAGCCGCTGCCACAGAGTTAATCGCCATCTAATAGCCATCTAAGGCAAAGGCTTGCCGAATGATGAAACTCAGATGTTGTGTCAACCACAGATACTGAACTCGATGCGTTCAATGGCTTTGACTCTGGTACGTAGCACAAACATGTGTGTGAACCCTGAGCAGATGCGGACAAGGGGGTTTGGCTGCACTAATATCTGCCCGCTTTGAGCGCCTTGCAGTCATGGTCCACCGGGAAAGCCAAGGACCATTCCCTGGCTTGCGCAGTTGGTGTTGACGGTGTCCCGCGATCCAAGAGACAACCAACTGCCGTGTTCGTTCGGACGACATAGACTTGTATTGCCTGAAGTAGATGCTGAAGTAAATGAATGGGTGTCAGTGGGAGAACATGTTCATGCCAAAGTGACATGTCCCGAGAAGGAAATAGAGGTCTTCCTTGACTGGGGGAAGTGAGCTGGTTACCCGTCCAGCTTATTGTGTAAGCGGCGTGAGAGGACTATTTAGTCGCCAGCCTCACCTCATCATGAAAGCGGGCTTGCCAGGAATCATCACGGCTGGTCCATGTCGTTTGAGGTCGAGCCCGAGCGAAGAATTGTGCAGTGTGATATTCAATGGATGGATGATGGGGATGGGATACGAAAGCAGGGCTGTTGGATGAGACTCAAGAAGGAAGCCAGCAGCTCTAGTGCAAGGCAAGTAACCAGGGTATGTACCTTCCTTGCTGTCAAGTGGAAGTCACAGTCTGATGGGACTCAGCCTGAGGCCTAAACTTTATTGTAACGGGACTGTCAACCTTGATATTGGACATCCGAGTGAGATCTGTCAGTAAGAGCATGTGGCAATGGTGTTTCTACGTTGATGACCGCAGTCTCACGATCCAATGCCGGCCGTGGTGGTACATCCGAGATACATGGATACCTCCTGCTCTATGATATGAGTGTCTGAGTGCTAATAATGTCCGGCTATCATGCTTCCTGCCCGGTAAGCTCACAGTGGATCCCATCGCGTCCTTTCCCCCTGGCTCTATCCCTGCGCCGCCTTCCCATTCGTCGCCTGGTTTCTTCCCATCTCATCAACGCGTTCTTTTCTTTTTTACGACCGCAGAGCCTGGGAAGTCAGCACCAAGCACACGGCCACCAGAGCCACGTTCGCCATCCCTCCACCGTCCTCGCCGTCCGTCTTACCGTTCCTCTCCCATCCATCCATCGCTCGGTTTAGCTGTCTGGATCTCGCCGACCCCCAAAAGGACGCTGTACCAACACCCCAGAGGTTGCGGGAGCCCGACAAAAAAAAACCAACCCCATACCATCCATCCATCCCAGCGAGCGACCCGCGTGTTGCACGCCCAGCCCAGGTTTTTCAGCCAGCCAGCCTGGTCCCAAGCAAGCCAACGCGTGCCGTGAATCACTCAGTGCTGCAGGCTGCTGCTTGCGTTTTATGCGACTGCTGCTGCTGCTGCTGCCATCCTTTGGTTGACCGTGGACCCGTGGCTTGTTTTTGGTCTCGCCCGAGTTTTCTGCTGCCCCCATAGCTACCTAACCTGCCCGTCCGTCCCTCGCTGTCCTTACCACGACGTGGACACTGTCGACCCTCCGTCTCCGCTTACCTCCACCGCAACCTACCTCTCTCAGAACCGGTCGCGCCCGTCGTTCGTCACCCGAACTCGCACCCGTCACTCACCCATAACGCGACAAGGAGACCACCCACCCCCAACCAAGTAGGAGGTTTCTGTTCTGTACGTCTGGACGTACACACACGCACGCACGCACGCAATAGAACACACAGTCACAATGGGTATGTTCGTTGGCTTTTCTTGATCCCCCCCTTCTGCGCCTGCCTTGTCTGCCTTTCCATCCATCCCGGCTCGCGACGCTGCTGCCACAAACGCGCGTCTGTCTGCGCCTGTCTAGCAACGTGTGTCGTCGTCGACGGCTTGATGCGCATCTGCACTTCTCCTCGGCCACGGCCTCTCGAGGCTGGGCGGCTTGAGCCTGCTGCGGTCGCCTTGCCTCAGCCTATCTCCCGAGCCTGAATTGAGCCCAATTCACCCCATGCCTGAGCTTCCTTACTCCCAAGCCTGAACACGACAGAGCTTACGCCTGACTTCGGGCCTGGCTGGACTGGTTGCTGTTGTGCTGTGTCTGTCTTGCTGCTTGCTGTATCTGCGCCTGCACCCGCACTCCTCGGAGTGTCTTCATCAATCAATGTGATACCACCTCTTGCTTGATGCAGCCTCGGAGCGTCCCCATTCCACTCCGACAAGCTCTTCGTGCCGCCTCTTCTTTTTCGCGTCGCCTTTCCTCATCCACTGCATTATCAAACCCCCCTTACGTGCATCAATCCGCCAAGGTCCACACCACGCTGCCACCACCCCTCCACTACAGCCCGAGTGCTCTGCCTTCTTCGACCAAGCTACCCTCACTCCCTGTTATTTCAACCATTCTCTCCTCTTCCTCGCCCTTTTCGCCGTTTGCGCGTCTTTCACAGAGGTTCTATCCTTTCTTCGGATTCTTCAATTCTAACGCTCACCTTTCAACAGCTGACACAGGAGATACCTACCGGCCCGTGAGTAAACCTACTATTCCTTAAGCTCCCCTTCTGCTACCTTATCTTCCCGCTTTGCACCTGTCTCTTCCCGCTGAAGCTGCGCGCAAACGCCGTCTTCCCGTTGCCGAGCAAGTGCGGTCCCCCGCGCGATTGCACCACGGCCTCTCGCTGCTTCTGGTCTGGGGCTGCCTGGGCTGGGCTCCCCGCTTCGCACGGGAACCCAGATCGCTGCTCTTGATAGCTGAGGCAAGCTCTCGGTCGGCTCCGCTCATCCGAGATCGGCCTTCGCGCGACGCGCTTCTCTTGTGCTGTCATTATTGCGTGCGCAAATCATCTCGTCTCCAAGAGTTCTGCTGCCGCTGTTGCTCTTTCCCCCCGCGTTCGCAGACGGTGATTCACAGGCGTTTTGCGCGCGCAGCCTTGTTTTACCCGAGACAACCATACCCCTCTTCTTTCAATGTTCCAATACAGCCAACCTGCCTCAACGCAATCCAGCTTTGGCATGGAATCGCCTCATTTTGTTCCTGCTCCTACTGACACTCATCAGCGCGAGAGGTCACGATCTCCTCGCAGACGTTCCAGAAGCCCCGAACGGACACACCGACGCCGGTCCTACTCCCCCCGCAGCCGATCAGCCAGCCGGGACGATTATCGACGAAACCGTGATCGCTCGCCCATGACTAGCACAGGCGCCCCAGGCGGAGGACCAAGTGCAGGATACAGTGGACAGGCTCCCCATCGATCTTACGAGGAACGAGCCGCAGCTCGAGAACAAATGATGAACAACATTCGCGAATCCTCCCAGCAGGACCGCCGAGTCTACGTCGGCAACCTTTCGTACGATGTCAAGTGGCACCATCTGAAGGACTTCATGAGACAGGGTGAGGCTTTCAATGCCGCGGATCGCCGGTGGAAAACGTGGGACTGACGAGATGGTAATCTAGCTGGAGAGGTGCTCTTTGCCGACGTGCTATTGCTTCCAAACGGAATGTCGAAGGTGGGCTTCATCGCGTAGTCTTTTTTTTTGGTTGGCTTTCCTTTGTGGTTTTCTCCCTCTTAGCCTTTGTGGATGGTTGGGTTGACGGGTTGGGACGCTGTCCTGGGTTGATTGTAGGGATGCGGGTAAGTCTCATCGTTCCCCGGCGGCTCCGGACTGTGCTAACAATTGGCAGAATTGTGGAATATGCTACACGGGAGCAAGCCCAACAGGCTGTTGCCCAACTGAGCAACCAGAACCTCATGGGTCGCCTAGTCTACGTGCGTGAAGTAAGTGTCGACAGTCTAGATGCGAGGATGATAGGAAGCTGACGATGAGACTCTAGGACCGTGAGGCTGAGCCTCGGTTTATCGGAGCAACTGGCGGCAACCGCGGCGGCTTCGGCGGCGGCATGCCTGGCGGTGGTGGCGGCGGCGGCGGATTCAACCCCGGATACGGCGGCGGTGCGCCTGGCGGCGGCGGTCGTCAGATCTACGTGGCCAACGTTTGTTCCTCCCCAACTCTAGCGCGGCTCGTGAATGATTGTTGACTCCCTATAGCTTCCCTTCAATGTAGGCTGGCAAGATCTCAAGGACCTCTTCCGACAAGCTGGTATGTGTCCCGTTGCTCCCACTTTTGAGTCCATTACGTGCTGGGCTCGTCTAACCTTTGTCTAGCCCGAAATGGTGCCGTGATTCGCGCCGACGTCCACATTGGACCCGACGGCCGTCCCAAGGGATCCGGCATTGTTGTTTTCGAGAGCCCCGATGATGCTCGCAACGCTATTCAGCAATTCAACGGCTACGACTGGCAGGGCCGAGTCCTTGAGGTTCGCGAGGACCGATATGCCGGCAGTGGTCCTGGCATGGGCTTCGGCGGCCGCGGCGGCTATGGCGGAATGCGAGGTGGATTCGGCGGAGGCTTTGGTGGTCGTGGAGGATTTGGCGGAGGCCGTGGAGGCTTCGGCGGCGGCTTCGGTGGCCGAGGTGGCTTCGGTGGTGGCGGCGCAGGCGGTCCCGGCTTTGAGCCCCCTGCCAGCTCCGTCCCTCCTAACCCCTTCACTGACTTCGCTACTACTGGCACTGAGCGCAGCGAGACCATCTATGTCCGCAACGTAAGGCTGACATCTGATCATCACCTGGTTTGGTCACATGGCTAACTTGGCATAGCTACCCTGGTCGACCAGCAACGACGATTTGGTTGAGCTCTTCACCACCATCGGCAAGGTGGAGCAGGCCGAGATCCAGTATGAGCCCAGTGGCCGTTCCCGCGGCACTGGTGTTGTCCGCTTCGACTCTGCCGAGACGGCCGAGACAGCCATCGCCAAGTTCCAGGGCTACCAGTATGGTGGTCGTCCCCTGAACCTCAGCTTCGTCAAGTACCTGAACCAGGGCGGTAACGATGTCATGGACACGGACCCGCATGGAGGCTTGACCCAGGATCAGATCATGTAAGAGGGCGGTGGTGCATGTCCACCGGAACTGGGCGTCTGGCGGCTTTGACGCTCCCAAGCGATGACGGTTGAACATTTCTTTTCCGGCAGAGGTGACAGTCGTCTCCCTTTGCTTCGTTGCTTCTCTACTGGAATCGTTCTTTCTTTTGGTCTCATTTCTTTTTTCACGCTGGCAACAAAAGTTGGAGGTTCTCGACGCCAGGGTCTTTGCGTATGGATACGCGGTCGAACTCTACCTCGAGGATGGATCGACGCTTTTAATATGTTGAGGGACAACTGGCGAGGAGGTTTAAGGGATTCACTCACTGAACAGCACGACCGATTTGACCCCTCCTCGAAACGTTGACGACGGCGCCAGCGGCATCCAGGAAGCCGGGGTTGTTCTGTCGGCTGAGTGAATCGAAGGGGCGACACCTCGGGGCGCAGCCCTCACAGATGGTCCTACCCTACCTAGAATGTAACTCGAGTAACTATCTGATGGTATTCAAGAATGATGGCAGGTGGTTTTGGTGAAAGGGGAGAGCGTAGGATATGTGCGGACGTGCGTAGCATCTCGGGGCGCATGGCAGTTTGTCGGGCCGGGTGAGCGATTCTAGTGAAGGTTGTGCATGTCCATCATGACTGGACGATGATTGCCGGCGTTGAGGAGTAATCTGGCCTTGTCTTATGCACTATAAGTAACGAGGACAAGGAAGGTGACTGGTGAAGGTCATGGCCTCGGCGTTGATAGTAATGACGACGTTGAACATTTTCATCTTTTGAATGAAAGGTTGATGCTCCATGCAGCGTGCCATGAAGTGCTTTTGGGGGCATGTGCAAAAAGGTAGATGCATTCAGTATGTCGCAGCCAGTTCCTTTCATGAGGCGCTGTCTGTAGGCTTGCGCAAGTGCGCCTTTCTGCACCTGGTGACTTTGTGAAGGTTGATGATATCTAGTCGAATAGGAGGAGGATGCTATAGAAGCTTACTTGTTCTCAGAACCAAACTCAATTCCGCCAAATGGCTGTCAAGCATATGCCAGTGAAAGTTGATATCTTGATGACATGGCTGTTAGAACTGCATCTGAGATGCGAGGTGGTCACTCGTCGGGCATCAACGAGCAGAACATCTGGGAGCCATGAGAACTCCCATCATCAGACAGGACGCTTTGGGAAACGGGGTCTCGAGATCGACAAGTGAATCAGCCAAGATGGGCGGGAAGGAACATGACCACTAAGGCCAACAGTTCAGAGGAGGCCGAAGAGGTTCGGAGCAGTGATCAAGCTCAACGACCATGTATGAACGCTTGGTAAGCGGTAATGAGTGTTTGTTTCGCACGGCAACTCTGTCTGGCATATCTACCGTGCAGAGCCCCTCGAGTACCAAGCCGGATGCAAGAGTTGCCGTCCCCCTCATGGCCGTCGATCGACATCTGCCAAGAACGATGGCTTGCCCGATTTCATTCCTCCACTTGGACGACAAGACACTAATAAGGTAATCCCACACGTCCTTGTTTGACAAGCGGGCCACGCGGCACCAAGGTAAAACGTCCAATGGCAAACTGCCGTGGTCTCGATCAAGACCCCCCAATTAAGCTTCGAAATAAGCTTGTCTTGAGGTGGCTGTCCCGCCTCGGGACCTCGCACATCCGCTGCATCTCCCCCTACCGACGCCAAGACAAAGATCGACTTGCAAAAATGTTTTAGTGCTTTCCTTTGACCTCGTACCCAAGAGCCAGTCTTGCGGAAGTATGCGCCGCCGTGCAAGGGCGTTGGCTGGGCTGACGGAGGTGGTTGATGCCAAGGTTAGCCTTGTCTTGTCCTACGTCGGGGAGCTGTGTCCTTCTCGGCATCAACATTCTTCCTCTTTCGTGGGCAGTCTTGAGGAGAAATTAAGCAAGATCCTCGGGATATGGACGCTAGCGGTGGCTGTGAGCATCTGTTAGCTCCAATACCAAGGCGCTTGCGAAAGTCAGAGAGGTGCCCGTGATGGTGTTTTTTGGTGAGAGTGTCTCTTTTCTGCAAAGGGGCGGTACAGCAAATACTGTTTCCGACGATGCATAGAAATGAATGCCTACGTGAGAGAGACGATGATAGTAGCGCGGGCTTGCGCAGGTGGATTATCGGTCTTGGCGTTGCTCGCAGTTCGGAATCTCTTCCTCTGGCTCTGTATGGTTGGAGATGTGGATTGAAGGCTTGCTTTTGGTGGTTCAGTATAGTCCTGGACTAAGATTGCGATGACGTTTGTTGAACGGTTGCTTTGATGCCGTTCGTATACTTCAGAGGTGTTGTTCATATCTATATAAGAGGTGTGAACTAGCTTCCATTGCTCTCTCATCCTCATCAAGCATCAGCTCTCAGCCTAAGATCACTACAACAACACAACCTTTTACTCAAGCCAAACACTCCTCCAAGACAAGATGAAGTTCTGCCTCCTCACCGTCGCCCTCGCCACTCTGGCAACTGCTTCGCCCATGCCAGAGAATGAGCAGCACGAGAAGCGAATCCTCGGCCTCTTCAAGCCCAAGCCCGCTGTCCCATTCACCTTCACCTCTACGTGGGAGGTCAAGGCCACTCCTGGCGAGGTCGTCGACAGCGAGAACAAGTTCACCGGCGGCCTGGCCAACAGCTGGGGTCTCTTCAAGTTCGGCATCAACTCTCAGGAGGACGTCATCTGCTACAACATCACCCTCTATGGATTCCGCGGAGAGTACCAGTCTCCTGCCAACACGGCCACTCACATCCACGAGGCCGCCAGGGGCAAGTCCGGCCCTCCTCGGTAAGTCTACATGGCACCCTTCACAGCACCGAGAGAAACTAACATGGTGTGCGTTCTAGCATTGCCTTCCCCAACCCCGTTGGCGACGGCCCCTCCCGCACCTCGATCGGCTGCCTCAAGGGCCCGTTCCGCACTGGAGTCATCCAGAACGGCAAGGACACTGGTGAGGGATTCACCCTCAAGCAGATTGAGAAGAACCCTGCCATGTTCTTTGCCGACACGCACTCTAGCCTTGCTGTTCCTGGAGCTTTCCGAGGACAGCTCGACACTGGCCGTTGCTCCTAGAGCTCTACTCTCTGGCATACACTTGTAATTTCTAATGAGGGAATGGGGTCACAGACGATTTGTTCTGTTGTGCTGCTGTAGCCTTTACCTGTTACATTATCTTAATCCGTTTCAACCTTATGCATACATCCACTTCCAATGTGCGCTATCTCGTAGTCGTGAATAACTGTTGAGAGATGGTAACTAGATGTTACCATGGTGATTGTTCCAAGTCAGGGTTCCCAGCCTAAGGGGAAATATGAGGAATTTTGTCTCTAGTAGCGGGAAAGGCGAGCGATCTTGGTAGAGCATCTATTGGCAAAGTAATTGAGTGCACTCCTATTATGCCTGCTCCGTGATGCATGCTTAGGCAAGCCTTCCGCGCGCTAACAGTGCTGCCATACCCCTAGAGGGCTGCCCTTGCCTTCCAGTGAGGTTAATTCACTCAAGCATTGTAGACTGCATATGAAGTGATTTGGTGGTTGAGGGGGTATCGCACATGATTTCATTAGTCCATGGCATATCATTTAACCCTTCTTCTCTTGATCCCATGATTTCTCCTTCAAAAACCCTCATTTTTAAGCAGCAGCCTTCTTCTTCTTTGCCTTTGCCTTCTTCTTGCTGCGGTCCCTGGGTTTCAGGGCTGTCATGCCTGCCTTGCACACGTCGGCGTACCGCACGTAAAATGCCTCCAGGTCCTCGGGGTTCACGACAGTCGTGAGCTTGATCTTCTTGGCGCGTTCCTTCTTCCCCTTGGCGTTGGTTGCCCGGATGATGAGAGGGAGAGGCTTGCCGGGGTGCAGGTCTGGTGAGGGCTCCTCCTCCGAGGGAGCGGGGATGTCTTGACCGTAGGTCACTGGCCAAATGTTCAGCAGGCATCTCTGGAGTTCGTCTTTGAAAGTCACTTACGGCGTTTCTGGCTCAGGACGACGGTGCCATGATCGCTCCCCTTGCGGTGATCAAAGAGCTCAGCCAACTTGGCGAAGAACTGTCATGTGTTGTCAGAACCAAGTCCTCACTAGAGCGCTGCGCAGCTAGCCTGAGCGAGTCTGCGACTATGGAAAAGAATTTCATACCTCATCATGGCTAATACGAGGGTCGGCCATGGTAAAGAAAAGTGAGCCGTGGCCAACAAATGATAGTGAAGGGTGAACGTTGAACGACGTTGATGAGTTTCGGCCTTTGCCCCACCATACACTCACCACGCATCTGAGGTTGTGTGGTGCACTGTGTCAAACATGGAAAATACGCACCGCAGTCGCCACCAAACATGGTCCCAAGACCCACTGATTCCCTCTTCTCGGTACCACTTCGGCAAAGTCCTAATGCTCCTCCTCATAGATGTCTCTCACACGATGTTATTGTGCTACTGAAGTTTGGAATTGAGTCTTGGCTACCTAACTTACCGCTGTGTTGTTACTATTCTCCTACTCCGAAGACTCTCATTGTAGAGCCTTTTGACGAAGCACCCTTGAGAAAAGAAGGACTCATGAACTTAACTGTGCGGGGAGGACAAGACCGAGAATAGACAATCTTTGTACGTAAAATAATGTTCTTACTATAGAACATACTACATTATTCTGCGATTTTGATGTAAAACGTCTGATCATACAACAATATCTAACGAGAGGTAGACATACTGCGCTATTCTGATATCTATTCTATTCCTTGACCCGGCTGCCAATATTGGTGTTGAAGTTGGTCCTGCGTCGCGCGCCCCACCTCATGCATTGAGTGGGGGGCAGCTTCTGAGCTCCGTCAGTGCTTCTCGACTTTATTTTTTTTTACAGAGAAAAAGTTGCGCCTCTCTTTGCATCATGACTACTTTCTCTATGCTCCCACCTTCTCTCAACATCACCATAAAAATTTCCTTTAGCCTCCTCCTTGTATTGGCTCATAATAATCACCACCGTTTCTTCGACCTCCTCTCATTCTTCCCTTAGCATCATCATAACAACTACCTTCCTCACCTGAATCGCCGTCTTCACCATCGGTCATCACCTCGCCGTTGACGGAACACACCATGGAGCGCCTTTCAAAGTCCGCCCGTGAGCGGCTCGCCCAAGATGACGCCGAGATCAAGATGTATGAGCGGAAACTGGGCATCAAGGGGCGCAAATCCTCTCGCAAGGATGATGACGGTCTCGAGGGGTTGCTGGGCGAGGAGGGCATGGATATGGACCAGAGTGACGAAGACTCAAAACGGAAGAGGGACGAATACGATACGTGGCTGGCGTCAAAGAGAAGAAAGTCAACACATCAATCTGGTAAGCTGAAGGGAGTTACGACGTGCAGAGACAGACGCTGACTGGGAGCAGCCTACGCGGACGACGATCTTGACCTGGTGGATGAGGACGATGATGATGACGAGGACGACGAAGATGGCGAAGACGATGAGGGCGACGAGGACGAAGATGGTGCGGACTTTGACAATGATTCTTTCGGGGGGTTCAGTGACGATGAAGGCGATGAAGGCGATGAGGGAGACGAAGACGACGAAGACGATGAAGACGAGACCCCAGCTCAACCGCGCCAACGCGAAAACCCCTACGTCGCACCGACGACCGGAGTCACAGTCGCAAAATACGTTCCCCCTTCGCTTCGGAGGGCTGCGGGCTCCGAAGAAGAGAACAGAAACCGACTACGAAAACAGGTTCAAGGTTTGATTAACCGACTGACAGACGACAACATCCTCTCTATCGTGCAGTCTGTCGAGGATCTGTACCAAAAGAATGCCCGCGGCGACGTGACCGACATTATCACCGACGTTGTCATGTCGCAAATCTGTAATCCGCAGAGCTTGACAGACCAGTTTTTGGTCACCACAGGTGGATTTTTGGCCGCTGTTTATCGGATCATTGGATCAAGCTTTGGTGGACATCTGGTACGTCGGATGGTGGTTGACTTTAACGCCCATTACGAACAGGCCAGCAAGGACGTCAACCCCGAGTCACCGATCCAGAAGGAACCTTCGAATATCCTATCCCTCCTCGCTCAGCTATACTTTTTCGAGGTGGTCAGCTGCAAAATCATGTTCGACTTCATGGAGAGACTTCTGGGTGACCTCACAGAAATCAACGTCGAGTTGCTTCTGCGCATTTGTCGTATGGCGGGCCAACTTCTGAGGCGAGACGATCCGCAAGCGCTTAAGCACGTCTCTGCCGTCCTCAACCAGTCTATTTCCAAGTCGGGCTACGACAATGTGTCGGTTCGCACAAAGATCATGGCTGATACTATCAGCGATCTGAACAAGCACAAAAAGAAAGCACGAGGCTTGGACTCCTCTGTCGTCTCGGAACGCGTGCAGCGTGTAAAGAAACGCTTGGGTGAGCTCAAGTCTCAATCCCGAAGACTTGATGGCCTTGCGCCCATGGGTATGGGCCTCGTGGATATCGAGGGTGCAGATACAAGGGGTGAATGGTGGCTGGTTGGAGCCAGTGTTCCTGAAACCCTCCTCGATAAGAGCCGGAAGGGATCTGCAGCAGCAGATGCCGACTACGAATCGAGTGATTCCGAGGACATGGATATTGTCCTTCCAGACTTTCCCAAAAAGGCTCGGGAACAGGGTCTCAGGGGCAATGCGCAAATTGCCATCTTCACAGCTCTCATGACGGCATCAAACTTTGAGCATGGCTACAAGCAGTTCGTCAACCTACGACTTAAGAAGAACGACCAACTAGAGATTGCAAAGGTGCTGGTGCAATGCGTCGGCAGCGAGATGGAGTACAACCCTTACTATGCGCTTGTGGGAAGGCAAGCATGTTCAAGCAACAGCCGAATTAGATTCGCGATCCAGGACCGTCTTTGGAAGATATTCAGAAGCCTCGGCGAGTCCCTTTTCGGAGAGGGCGCAGAAGAAGACGAGACGGCGGATGGTGAGCAGATGAAGGACGAGAGACGCCTTGGCAACATTGCGAATTTCTACGCGTCCCTCGTTGATGATGGAGTGTTGAGCATTGCTATCCTCAAACCTGTGGAGTTGCCTGAGGCGAACCACTGGACCTCAGTGTTTGCGCAATTATTCATGATTGCGCTCCTCAAGACATGTCGAAGTCGAGGCAACAGCGCCAAGGAGGATGCCAAGGTGGAAAAGATCTTTGGCAGTGCCCGAGAGCTGCCGGGCTTAGCAGCCGGAATCCATTGGATGCTACGGAAGAAGGTCCGGAAGACGAAGTTGGTCAGCGCCAAGGAGTTGAAGAAGCTGGAGGGCGTTCGAGAGAAGGCGCAGGTTATTGTGCAAGCTGTAACAGTAGAGGGATGATTTGTCGAACAACCAAGGCTGTTGTGTCGACCTCAACGGATAGATATGATACCATTGCCTCGATATCGGACTGGCTGTCCAATTGCGATAAGGACGTTTCACTACTCGGCAGAGCCCCCGGTACCAAGCGGCTCCATCCTCCGTAAACCGTCTATCGACGACGGCGGTGACGTCGATATCCCGAGGGCAATCAACCTCCGAAACCGGGTAGTAACGGGATACGCCGGGTTGTCGGTGATCGAAGGTTGTCCTTCTATGATGGCGGGCCAGTCGTTGGGGGGGCAATTAACAAGTTTTGGGGGGGCGTTTCGGGGTTCGTTGGGACGAAATGCCCGAAATCCCAGGCATTGATTAGCCGACTTGATAACTCCAGAGTTTGAAGGCGCACGGGACGTGCTGAGACGCTACAATCAGCAATGAACGGTCTCTCGGCCGGAGATACATGTCCAGGGGGCGGTGTTTTTTTTTTACAGAGCACGCGCAGCAGGTGAAGGGTACTGTAAGTGGCCCCCTCACCGAGAAGCCAGCCAGTAAAGTGTACGTACCTGGCCACCCTCTCGGCTGGTCTGGGAAAAAAATTACCTGATGGGCGGGCTTCCCTTTGCCGAAGCTCCCTGTGTCTGTCCAGTGTCTGTGCCTGTGCGCCCGGCCGCCAAACTTGGACAGCGGGCGAGCTTTGTTGCGGCAACGATCCTCTCCCTCAACCTCAACTTCGCCCTCGCCTCTTGTCGACTTTTTCCTCCTCCTCCTCCACAACCTATCCCCCCATTGTCTCTCCACACAACCTCCTCCAAGATGCTTTCCAGTCGCTTAATATCACGAGCCGTTGCTCGTCCTGCCTTCCAAAAGTCTACGTGAGTTTGCTGCGTCTTCTGGTGTCCTTGTAGAAGCTTCCTAAAAACTGGCTTCTGTTGGGTCACCGACGAGGGAAAAAATGGCTCGTTGACTAACACTCGCTCTTCTTGCCTGACAGCCTCCCCGCCGTCGTCTCCTCGTCCTCCCTGTCGCGATGGAGCCGTGGATATGCCTCTGCATCTGGTGTGTTACCTCCGAGCTCGTCGGAGCTGGACCCGAATAGCGGTCGCTAACTGGAATTTCGCAGAGGAGAAGGATCTCGTCATCATCGGTGGCGGCGTGGCCGGCTACGTCGCTGCTATCAAGGCTGGCCAAGAGGGCATGAAGGTCGGTCGATTATCCTAGACCCGAACTCCCAGCTCGGTACTCGGGCGAATGGGCAAGCGAAAGGAACGGAATGGGCTGACAAGATCTCTTCCCCCCGGTGTAGGTGACATGCATTGAGAAGCGCGGCACCCTTGGCGGTACCTGCTTGAACGTCGGCTGCATCCCCTCAAAATCACTCCTCAACAACTCGCACCTCTACCACCAGATCCTCCACGACACCAAGAACCGCGGTATCGAGGTCGGCGATGTTAAGCTTAACTTGGCCAACTTCATGAAGGCCAAGGAGACCTCCGTCAACGGCCTCACCAAGGGTATCGAGTTCCTCTTCAAGAAGAACGGCGTCGAGTACATCAAGGGCACCGGCTCTTTCGTCACCGAGAACGAGATCAAGGTCGACCTCAATGAGGGCGGCGAGACCAGCGTTCGCGGCAAGAACATCCTCATCGCCACCGGTTCCGAGGCTACCCCCTTCCCCGGCCTAGAGATTGACGAGAAGCGCGTCATCACCAGCACCGGTGCCATCGCCCTCGAGGAGATCCCCAAGACCATGACCGTCATTGGTGGTGGTATCATTGGTCTTGAGATGGCCTCCGTCTGGTCGCGACTTGGCACCAAGGTCACCATTGTCGAGTTCCTCGGCCAGATCGGTGGCCCCGGCATGGACACTGAGATCGCCAAGGCCGCCCAGAAGCTTCTCAAGAAGCAGGGCATGGAGTTCAAGCTCAACACCAAGGTCGTCAGCGGTGACAAGTCTGGTGAGCTGGTGAAGCTCGAGGTTGATGCCGCCAAGGGTGGCAAGCCCGAGACTGTACGTATCAATAATACCCCTGACATAGGTCTGATACTAACAAGTTGATAGATTGAGTCTGATGTCGTCCTCGTTGCTATCGGCCGACGACCTTACGTTGGTGGCCTCGGCCTCGAGAACATTGGCCTTGACACCGATGAGCGCGGCCGTGTCATCATCGACTCCGAGTACCGAACCAAGATCCCCCACATCCGATGTGTCGGTGATGTCACCTTCGGCCCCATGCTTGCCCACAAGGCCGAGGAGGAGGCTGTTGCCGTCGTCGAGTACATCAAGAAGGGCTACGGCCACGTTAACTACGGTGCCATCCCCTCCGTCATGTACACCCACCCCGAGGTCGCCTGGGTCGGCCAGAGCGAGCAGGACCTTAAGAGCCAGAACATCCCCTACCGAGTCGGCACCTTCCCCTTCTCCGCCAACTCCCGAGCCAAGACCAACCTCGACACTGACGGCCTGGTCAAGATGCTTGCTGACCCCGAGACTGACCGTCTCCTCGGTGTTCACATCATCGGCCCCAACGCCGGTGAGATGATTGCTGAGGGTACCCTGGCTCTGGAGTACGGCGCGTCCACTGAGGACATTGCCCGAACCTGCCACGCCCACCCCACGCTCGCCGAGGCTTTCAAGGAGGCCGCCATGAACACTCACTCCCAGGCTATCCACTTCTAAACTCGGGCATGATGGATGGGGGTTGGTCGTATAGGTAGCTGACTGCCAATGGCAGCATCAGCAGGTCTCCTTCGCGTCCCTTGCGGCGGGAGACGGACACTCTTGAAATGCATAGACAGCATAGGGCGTCTGTAGTCGCCGATAGCATGAACAAAAAATAACAAAGGGCCAAAGAGGCGGGACTGCGTGAGCGGGATAGAGCCGAGGCGTCTCGGACTCTGGATTGTGTAAACTAGTAATATTTTCGCTTTATCCAAGCATGATGAATGGAAACCACGAGACAGAACCAGTGGGCTGTGCTTAGAGAACCTGACCCTCGACTGCAAGTTGGAAAATATCTGTGCAATGTGAAGGGAGCAAGCTTTCACTCCTACAACGCGTCTGATAGGCAACCAGGGGCTGCCGTTCTGAAGGAACAGCTTTGATCGCATTCCACTCCCGAGGTTCCCTCACAAGGTTCCTCAAATGTAGTGTTGATATCGAATCAAAGACAGTTGGTTTACCGCCAGTTCCTCATCGTATGTTACAAGCAGACTTATAAACCCGGAATACAACCTCGACGGCAATCAACCTCTGTATTTGATACTCTGTCCCGAACCAGGGAGTCTTCTCTTTAACAGATTGCACCGGATCCAAGAGATTCCGGAGGGGCTCATGTCGGCCCGCATATCAGCCAGATCAGCCCATCTCGAGGGTAAAGCCGTGGGTTTGACTGGCAGCACCCCACAGAACGGCAGATCCAGCAGTTGGGTTGGCCAATTGGAGCAATGTGAGTTGAAGTTTCATCAGAGGATGGAAACATTGCTACCAGCTGAATTGGCCAGGTATGCAATTGTCGACTGCATGCTTCTCCATATCACTCTCACAACCTCCAATTGATTCTCAGAAGTTCTGTATATGCGTACTTCCATATCCGTAACGGACTTTTAGACGGAGTCCGAGGCGCTTACCTGCCCGCTCCGCGGCACTCACCGGGGAAGCTTGGGTTGCGTTCCAATCCAATTGGGACAACGATTTGCTTTTGCATCTCGTCAGGGTTCAGCTCAAGAAAACAGCAGCCTGGCGGTGATTGCGCGTCTCAATCAAACATCGACTTCCCTGAAACAGCTGCCCATCCAATTGACATGGAACGAATCTGGGTGCCTGGCCTGGGAGATTGGAGATGTGTGTAAGATGGAGGCTCGTGTTCGTAGTTTAAGGGCGCTGTCACATGGATCCAAACGGGAGAGGCTCTTTCAGGGACCCGGAACTTTAGTGCCCCACGCGCTGTGGCGGGGTGTGTGTGCCCCCTGCGCCCCGCCGTTGCAGGTGCCAGCTTGCCGTGCTTGCCCAGTTTTCCAGCATTTCGTAGGGGAAGGAGCGAGGGGGATCGGGCCATCCTGCGCCACCCGCCCCTCTCCACCACTGCCGGCGCTGGAACTCGACACGCAGCTCAACGAAAATGGGAAAGATGCGGTGAATTGAGTTGCTGCTGATTTGCAGTGGCCTCGATTTTCCATCTACCCCGGGAGCCCCCCCTTCTTTTTAAACTTGCGATCTCCTCCCACCTCTCCCTTCTTTAGACGGTCGTTAGTCTTGGATAGGCTATAAATTTTTTTGGACTGGGAACCAATTGTTGGAATCAATTCCTTCTTGCGTGCTTCTCTGCTTTTTGTCCTTTTGTTGTTAGCTATCTGGCTTCCTCTCTGTTGCTTTCATCCATCTTATCGCGATGGCTCCCAGCACCATCGTTACGGGCCTGCCCCCGCCGGCTGGCAAGGGACCCAGCAGGGAGCTGAAGCTTATGAGTCGAGACGAGATCGAAGCCTTGATCGCAGAAGATCGCAAGATCGTCATCTTTCACCAGCAGGTTCTCAAGGTTGATCCATGGCTGCCGTATCATCCTGGTGGTGATAAGTCCATGCTTCACATGGTTGGAAGGGATGCTTCCGATGAGATGGATTCGTACGTCGACCTCCCCATCGCTAATTGATGATTGGTTCACAGTATTGATCCTGAGACTGACTGCCTTGTGTCCTGTAGCCTTCACTCCTTTGAAGCCCGTCAGCAGATGTTGCGCTACCGCATCGGTCGCATTGAAGGTCCCTGGACCAACTTTGTGCCCCCCATCCAGGGCGGCGTCTTCCGCACGCGCGAAGAGATTCAGCAAGCCGCCGAGAACCACGAAGCTCACAAGGATACTTCATCAAGCGCACCCTCTTCCCGAGTACCCTCCCCGGTCTTCGATGACGACGACACTCAAGGTCTCCGACAGCGACCCAGTAGCAAGGAGAAGAAGGGGGCTAGGGCGCCCTCGGTATCGTCAGCTTCAACAGTGGACGAAACGGAGATGGATGGCATG